GGAAATTTTCTAGTTCATTTGTTAGTGTGTTCATTGGGTGAAATAATTGTTGTGTGGAGACAACTTTTATTCAGTTTGCACCAGATGTAGGAAAACAGACATTTTGGAAGGGAGACTGCAATTATACTTTTTTAAATAGTCACAAAATATCTTTATTGATGATGTTTGGACCCTGAGAATGAGTTGCATCAGTATGCCTCAGTCACAGGATGCAGGCGCACCACAGTCACTTTTAAGGTACAAAGCAGCATCGTGGAGTTAGTCCTTGCAGGGCCTGTCAGCGCGGCGAAGACCCCACGGCTACAATCCAGGCAAACACTTGACTGCTGTCTCCTCAGTGCAAACACGACAGCAGTCAACCTTTGCTGAAGTCACTGTACACTTATCACGTATGTGGATTAAGGCATATACACATTTACAAGTATGCAAGCAGTGTGTGGAAAGCAAGCACCATTTATCGGCGGGTTCTTTGTTTTCAGCAACATTTTTTTGGCATCAAAGATGTTCTTACACCCCGCATTTCTCAGAAGTGGCTTGTCTGTCAAAAGCTGAACAACTATTGTTTCATTGTTAGTATTTTCCTCGACTGTTAATTAGTCTTGTTGAAAATTTGATGATACAATATAGTAGCTTTATGTTATTGTCATCGGTTTTAATTACTGTATGTCAACTTTCATATATTTTCATGTTTCATGTCATGTTTGGTTGGGAGAATTGCTCTAAATAGTATGATACCCAACAGTCTGGAGTCCTGTTTCATTCAAACATTGGAGACACAATGCTGAATGTGATTGATTGTGAGATGAACCTTGATAAAGCATGCTAGTGCTCTTGGTTCTACTTGATGCAAATGTCCTCTAGCGACAACCAACGGTGCTTGTTTTGATTCCCTCGTGAAAAAGAAGCACAGAATTGTTTTCTTCTCCACTCAGCTACGCAAAAGAACTTCAAATAGAACGGAGGGAAAAGCTGATTGTCATGGCCAACGACTTCCCAATTCTCTACAATATAAGTCAAACAAGCTGCTGGGACTTTGAATAAGAATGATGAATTGAACTACCTTGCCGTACAGGAGAAAAATAGCTGCAGAGCTGAGTATGTAAGTTAGAAGAGGCAAATTATGAGGCATCAGCTGCCGTTGCTGGGGAAAAGAACCTGGTTAGAGGTGTAGGGAATTTATTTTTGAAATTTGGGATCAAAAGACCACACAATGGTGCCTGAATACATCAAATATTCACCTATAATCCAAAAGTGAACTGGTCATCTTTAGCTTCACCCAACAGATTTCTAAGCCCGGTAATTGGATGGTTCTCACTGAAAGGCACCATGGGAGTTGGACCCAACTTTTCTCCTCTTTTAGTTGATATAAAAACTCCCTTTTTTTTATGTTTGATGATTCAACTGAGTTTTATGTCCGTCCAAGTCTTTGAAGTGCTCCAACTGCCGTCACCAAACATTGTCTTTGCAGAAAATGCTACTCCCGGAAAAAAAAAAAAACTCCTCCCAGTGCGCCCCTCACCAGCGGAGCGAGATATAAAGCATCAAAAAGCGGAAAGTGAAGACGTGACATTATCGCTTCATCTTGGACGGAGGAGTGTTACAGCTGTGAAGGGCATCGCCATCGTCCTGGCCTGTTTGGCTGTTAGGCTGTTTGTCAAATATGTGCACCAGCTTGTATCAGTGGCAATCAGGCAGACACGATGCGAACGGATCCGCAAGAGCATCTGCTGGCACAGCGGGCAGCGATATGTGATAAACGCTGATTTCACCCTCCATTGGATCGAGCTGGCGATGATAGCCACCTCTCCCCCGCTCATCCATCCTATTAAACCCTCATTATTCATTTACCTCCAGCCTCAACCGCCTGACATGCATGGAATGAGTGCACTCACAGTCCCACACAAACCCACACAAACACACAGTAAAAAAGTGAATTGTGCTCATATTTATTCCCCTATTTCATCTAAGGCGGTCAAGGACACACACCGCTATCTCATACAGGCAGTATCATGAGTTTCATTTTTTATTTTTTTTTCTTGGACCAAAATTCTCACATTTTTTTAGTATACACACACACACACACACGTGCCCACGCACTCAGACACACACAGTTTCTCTGTGTATAGTACAGCAGTGCGCTGGCAAGGAGCTTAATTCTATCAGGCTGCGAGCTGGACAGCCGTAATTACATTTGTGACACAAATCCTGCCTCTCAAATTGAGCGTTTTATTCCTGAGCGCTCCCCCCTCTCTATTTATAACCCCTTATTCCCCATAAATCCCACTTCCTCACAGAAAGTCAATTTAGGACTTAAAAGGCAGCAACGCTCCGCTTACTTTCTCTCTCCCCCCCCCTCCTTAGACTCTATCGCCGCTTCAGTTTCACTTCCCCTTTTCCTCCGCTCTACTTGGGAGCTTTGAAGCCTCTGAAATGACAAAAAAAAAGAGAGAGAGAGTCTTAAGCAGTGAGTGCCATGATGCGAGAAAGTCATCCCTACAGGAAAGTTTCAGAAAGGAAAAAAAACGCTGCTTGCAACCTGTCTGTAACTTCTTTGAAGAGTGCTTGTCACTGTTTCATTGTCATATACAACCGGGGTGGGTTGCTGTGTAGACTACTTGCTTTCCTGTGTTGAAAAGGTTTCTCCTCCACCCAGCTCATGGTCACCTGTCCTTCAATTTCTCACACCGCGAAGGGCGCTTTCCACTTTGCCACTTTTTCTCCTTTGGCTCACTTTTTCCGTTTCTTTTTCCCTTACAGCTCTGCTTTCCTCCAAATCTCTTCTTTCCCCGGTGCCTCCTCCCCTGCTCTCCGATCCCCTGCTGAATCAGCTGTGGCCTTCATCGCTTTCCTGCTCCTCCGTCTCCCCTTTCTTCCTCTCTTGACTTGGAGGCCATACCCGAGTACAGTATGATGGCAGTTCATTTATTCCGCCTCTCTTTTGCTTATGCATGAGCCTGTCAGTTCCCATACTGCTGCTCCTCACCTGTCCCTGTACTACTCCACCTCATTCATCGTTTCTTCTCCCCCCTTTATGTCGCTCCTATAGGACTCTGACTTTCTCCCAATCTCTGTCAAGGCTGTTTTTCACCCTCTCTCTCTCTTTCTCTCCATTTCATAGCTTTATATTTCTGGGGGTTTTGAGCTTCATTCCAAAAAAGCCATATCCATTAGGGAGAAAGTGTGTGAGTTGATGCTGATTGCTCAGGTGATCTCATACTGTGTTGTCAATACAAAGTTTGAAAGGCTGACTCAGTCTACATCTAACTCTTTTAGAATGTCAAGACTAATATGTTCTTTATGAATATAGATACAAATATAATCAAATAATGTGTATTTTGTATGCATTAAAATATGTATTAATTGATTACAACTGTTAACTAAAAGTCCCTAAATTGTTTTCTATAATTTTTAGTCCTGCAAAGCTTGACCCCATGCTCCAAAATCTGTGTTGTGTTTGCTCATTTCTAGTTTAAGAGCTTTTATTTGCAGTATTCAGTGCCATTTCCCCCCATATGTTTATTGATTTCAAAGCATACAAACAGTAACAAGAAGTAATTACATCAAATGCAGCGACTAATACAATCAAAGACCAAACAGAATGCGAGACCCAAAGAGGAGGAGGAAGAACAGCAAAAAGGAGGCTACAAAGGCACTGTGAGTCAGGCTCAGTCGTATTGTTTAGTGAGACACAAAAACCTACAAGTCATTAGTATTCTCTTCTAGGTGTGACTCTGTATTCAGAGGGTACCACAAGGGAACTGTGTCAGGTATGGTTAGAAAATTGCTATATCAAACCACAATAACAAGCCATCCTCCGCTAACACATAGAAAACCAAAATAAAAACCCAATTTATAACATTATATGAACATATACATTACTTTTAAATAATGTATTTATGTGTAAAATGTCTAATGAATTACTCACCCAGTAGCAGGAGTAAGAAAGTAAATACAACCCTGGAGTTCATACTCATAGAGGGCTTTTTTCTCATCTCCCAGTTTCTCCAATGATCTGGCTTAAATGTTTTGTATGTGATTAGCCAACTCAGTCTTTGTACATCTGCAAAATGTCACATTTAAAAAAAACAAAGTGCCAGTTCTAACATTAAAACAGAATAGTTGACCCATAAGGCTCTGAGAGGGGCGTGCAGGAGATTTTCATTTAATCGCAATCAGGCGTCTAGCAAGCAAGGTCAGAGAAGCAGTAACATCTAATTTCAAAGCTGTGTTGGAGGAGTGACTCCAAATATTGCAATGAGAGCGTGGAGCTCGAGCCGAGCCTCATAAATATTTGAAGAGTGTTTTGAAATGATCTCTCTAATAGTTTTTAAGAGATGGGAATGACTAAAAACATGTGCGAAAGATTTCTCAGAGAATGATTACTCAAGTTTATTGAGCCAGATATCACAAATTTGCCTCAAGGGGCTTTACAATCTGTACAGCATATGACACCTTCTGTAAGATATATATACATTTTGGACAGCTTGATCTGGTCCAGCAGACACAATGCAAACTTTACACTGGATAAGGTCTTATCTGGCACAAATGGATAAAATATGGACTTACTCCAGTGCACCCTCCCGTAACTCATCCAATATTTCTCTCCCCAGCTCTTTCTTACTCTCCTGAAATTCTTTTATGAACTAATCCTAACCTCTGTTCAATCTCAGGGAGCATTAGGATTTGAGAAAGTTTATTGCAGATGCCCTTTAAATAAGGAAATATTACGCTAGGAGATGAGTACTGCTTTTAATGTTTTGTAAGCAGTGGGTTTTGCTAAAAGCCTATGATCTCAATCCCCAGAGTCACTTTAAAACTTAAAATCATTCTGTCTCATTCTATCAGTGGCAGCATATCTCATTTTGGAGCGAAATTCACTCCTCCTCCATCAGCTGGGCTTCTTTTATCTCCCCTGCCCTCCCTCTCATCCTCCGTTTAACATCCATCCACCTCGTCACTCACAGGCCCTCCCACCCTCTCCTGTCTCTTTTGTCTATCAGAGCCTTCAGCCGGCGGAGCGCTGGGCCCGACCCTGGGCCTCTGGAAGTCCAGCTCCCTGGAGAGTCTCCAGACGGCTGTGTCGGAGGCCAAGCAGAGTCGCGTCCAAGCCCAGGTGCCGTTTCACCGCCCGCGGCCGCACATGGTCCGTGGTCGGGGATGCAACCAGAGTTTCCGCACCGCCATCGACAAATCCTACGATGGACCTTCTGAAGATGGTAAGGCTTCTCCCTCGCATTTTAAAAACAGGAATACTGGTTTAGACAGTTTTAGAAGAAATGTGAAATTGTGAACTTGTAGAAGCCAAAAGGAAGAGACAGAGCTGTCCCTTTTAATGTATGACTGTCACTGTGCTCTAATATAGGATTCTTTCCTAGACATTGTATCCATTTTAAATGAGACACTACACTGCCAATGCACATCCCTTAGGCTATAACACACTGGCACTCAAGAAGAGCCAGAGGCCTGCCAAGGGACAGTGCTTAGCCTAAGTACCTTAATGAAATGCTACATGATTCTATCCACTCAGCATTTTAGGAGGAGCAACTTTCTATCTTATAGCAGCATATTTTGAATGCACTACCTTGTGAACCCGCAGACATGTTGGATGTTGAGCGTGTGTGATTACTGAGGAAATGATCCCCAGTGTTTGCTGAAATGAGTGAGTTGACTAACGATGTTTAGAGACATCTGGAGTGTGAAGAATTACCCGTCTACAGTGGCAATGGATGAGAAGTCCGACTTATCACACAATTGTAGGAGTTAAATTTAGCGCAGATTTTTTTCTTTAGCAGGCCGCCCAAATCTGTGTTCTGATACTTTAAATCAAACATTAAACTATTAAATGAAAATCATTTTAACTACAGCTTTTGTTTTCCTTTGGGTTGGCCTTTGCATGTAGGTGAAAATTCAACATAAGCAATTGGATCCGACTGCTGCTAGAAGCTCATCCAGGTGTAGAGACTTGCCTCTGGCTAGCCCCCCTGCACTGGGAGAAAGGCTGACTAATAGAAGACTAACTAGCTCACTGAGCAGATGTCTCAACAGCGCACTGAAACGTACATGCATACCGAATGTAATGATAAATGTAATACATGCTGCTGCATTTTTGAGTATTCCATTTGTCTCTCTGCATACACCACGACCTCTTGCACACCCGTGTCTAACTGCCCGAACCGTTCATTCCTCCTCAGACGACGACCTGTCAGAGCACAGCTCCGGTCACGAAACGCCCGTCAGCAGCTCCTCTCGCCAGGACCTGGACGCAGAGGACGGGAAGAAGAAGAAGAAAACCAAACCGAAGAAGAAGGAGAAAAAGAGCAAAGGGAAGAAGAAAACAGATGATTCTGCCGAGGATCTGGAGAAGAAGACCAAAAAGAAAGGATTTGGCCTCTTAAGGTAGGAGACATCCTTTAATACTTTGACCTCCAAAAATCCTCACATGAGTTTTTTTACTTTAAAGAACAATTTGTTGTTTGCTGGTTAACTTTAAACTTTTTAGCATCAAGGTGGCTCTCTCTGATTGGTTAGCCGATGATAAATTAAGTAAAGCAGCTCCAAAGGCTGCCATGCCAGTGCCTTAATACTCTAAATTGAAAAGGTCACCTACTTAACAAGAAAAATGTGAGCTAAAACAGAGCAGGTAATGAGGCTCGTGGTTCATCACTACTCCAAAACCCAGAGGTCTCTCTGGAGCGTCAACAAAACTGTGATTCCTTTTTGTTTTTGTGTCAAAACTGAAGTGATTTTCAGGGGAGGATCGGTTATTTAACTTTTCTCTTTCGGTGTAGCGCAGGTTCAGGTTGGTTAACCTGGTTTTAGAACACACGTAGACCCACATAAGCTTTTTTGTGGCTGCGAATGAACCAAAATATCAGATGCAATCCTGTAAACGGTAAAACTAGGTTTTATGTAGAAATCGATGGAAATCAGCAGCACCATGCCCTACTTTCCCCTGGTTAGGTTTCAACAAATTACCCACTGAGCACAGCAGGATTATGGGATATAGGATTATTGGATATGAACACAACCTTCCCAGTAATGGAGGGTATCCATTATCTCTCAATCCAAGTAAAGTCCCACGGACACAGTACCAACCCAAACCGCTTGTCACCCCTTTATCAACGCGTCCCCATCGTGATTGTGGCGGTCCAATCCTCCAACAGCAACCCTTATCTATTGGCAGTGACACGGTGTGGTCAGTGTATCACTGCACTTCCAACACTTGAGATTCAATTAGGCTGTGGCGAGAGATAGCGCAGGCTGAGCGTTGGCCTACAGATGGCAGATAAGAATCCAATTGGCCACAGTGTCAAGGGCGGTAATGGAAGAGATGTTCACATGGTTAGGCCGGTGGCGGAGAGTAGGGCAGGGATGAGAAGGGCAAGATGAAGGACACACACACACACACACACACACACACACACACACACACACACACACACACACACACACACACACACACACACACAGAACCAGGGTTGCATACGGGAACACGTGTGTCAGAGAGACTGTAGTTGCGTGCAAACCTAGAGCTAAAATCCACTTCGCCTTAACTCTTGATTTCCCCAGTATGAAAAATGGACTCGTCTTTTTCTTGTGGCATCTTAAATAGTTCCAGTTACTGCAAGCATAAAGCTTCTGCTGTTTCTTTCCAGCAGAAATGGGCAAATATGTAGAGGCTGACACTGCTAGCTGTGTGACAGATTGTGTTTATATGTTTGGAAGGAATTCTCTGCATCTATACTCCACAAGCATAAGTACCTTTTCTCATTTGTCTTTTTATATGTTGGAACTGGAATTTTTGTTTCTCCTCCTTTTTATACTAAGGATTACTTACTTGTACAGTGATCAAAGGAACTTGTCTTTTTGAAGCCCTCCACAGATTGATGAGTCAGTCAAGGAGCCGCCAACTCGAACCTCATGTTGGCAGTCGGAACAACAGATGTTTTTTTTTTTTTATTGCTGTGCCATTGCACAAAGAAACGCAGGATAATAGCACAGCTGGCTACAAAGTTTTACAGGCTTAATTGTGTCTGAAAATGACCTTGTTGGAAAACTAATTGTGTTGGAAATGGGGGGAAAGGGGGCCACACAGGAGAGACACTCCGCTTTAAGATTACAGCAGCAACGCTTAGTATTTTAATCCATTAGTTGCCAACTATTTTGATAACTGATTAATTGTTTTTTTTTTTAAGAACAAATGTCCAGATTCTCTGATTTCAGCTTCTCAAATGTGAATATTTTCTAGTTTCTTTCGTCCTTTGTGACAGTAAACTGAATATCTTTTGGGTTGGGGACAAAACAAGACATTTGAGGAAGTCACCTTGGGCATTTGGGAAACTGATCAACATTTTCTGACAATTTATTGACCAAACAACTAATCAGTTAATTAAGAAAATGATTAAATGATGATGAAATAATTATTAGTTGCAGCCCAACTTAAGATTTTACGACTGAACTTTTTATTCCTTTGACCGTGTGGAGTCTTGCAAGTAAAATTTGAAACCTAATATGTGTGAATATGAAGGAGTTTAAAATGAAGAAGCCCACCAGTCTGGCAAATCAGCTGCAATTTGTAAAACTCTGATTCGGGCACAGCTCTAGTGTCTATCCCAGGCGTCCTTCTCTGCATTTTATGCATATGTGTTTTTGCATGTAGTGGCACGCAGTCACACCCCTCCTCTTTCTCATTGCAGTGTCAGCCTTTTGAATGGGCAACAATAGTCAGAGATGCTCACATCCAGCCCACTGTTCATCCAGACACAGATGCTGAGTGCTTTTCTAACTCAACAATAGAACTGAGCCTTGTAAAAAAAAAAAAAAAAAAGCTTCCATATTGTTGCACCACACTCCAGCCCCCTTTCTTTCTCTGGCCTTTATCTGGCCAGCTTGATCGTTATTGAACTTGAAATATGACTTAATTTGCTGGAGTATTGCGCGGTTCAATCTAATTGCGGCTCTCAAATGTTATTTTACTCCAATGGCAGCATTAGGAAAAGGGCAAATTATAAACATATGACCTCAATTTACCTCCGCAATGAAAGTGTGTGCAACAGCAGCTAGCACAACAAATGTTGGAAGTCAGCCCTGTCCTTTCAGCGGCCATAAATATTTAGTTAAGCTGCGCCAGTATTTGAAGAACAAGTTGTTTTTGGCGGCAGTGCGTTGCGAACAGCTGGCTATAAGGTGACCTTTGGAGATCACATATTTGTTGTGGGAACATTTTTTTTTTTTTTGCTAAATCCATTTGTGATCCTCTTTTGTATGAAGAGTCATTTCGTTTCGTCGTTTCCTACCTCTGCATACAGTATTATCCTACCTCAGCACCAGCATGGAGCGTGTTACATTCTCACCTGCTGCCATAATGAAAGCGCTTCAATTAAAGGTCAAACATTAGGGATGGATGATGTATGGATATAAAAGGTCAAAGGTGACACCCATACCAGTTAGTCCAATTGATATCAAACTTGCTAAACCTATCCAGCAGTCATTACAAATGACTCTAATTAGCCTAATCAAGAGTGTAAATCTGGGTCAGAACTCTGCTCATAATTCAGATGTGACTTTGAGTAGGGCGAGGCAGAATGTGATTTTATAGGTGCTACATTTTAGGATTAGGTGCAAATTTCAGAATTTCAGAAAAACCTCCTCATAAATTTAGATGCAACTACTTTCTGAGCATCCATATTTTAACTATGTGCAAGTGAACAATTGCACAAGAGCCGCTGGTGGTGGGGATTTCTTTTTGGGTAATGATTAGTCAAGTGTTGTTCTCTCTCGCTCTTTTTGCGTCCCTGCTCTGTGAGTGCGATGGCCTTCCGATGCGTCTTCTCCCCCTTTTTTCATCACCAGGCTCTCGAAGCCCCAGTCCGCGTCTCGTCTCCCTGATTGCTAAATAAGCCAAGACAAATGGCGGTGCCCTTCAGACCTTCCTCAGTAGAGGTTGACTGCCTGTCTTGTCTGTATTCAGCAGACAGCAGTGAAATCTTTGCCTGGAACGTAGCCTCGGGGGCCGCGCCACTGACAGACCGCAGAAAGACTAACACTGGAACTCAGGCTGCTCTGCTGTTTTCTCTCAGTGCCGCTGCCACATCCGCACACTCTGTAGAACAAAGAGGATAACCTGGTCAGGGGTTTCAGATGTCTTTATCAAACAAGGATATTTACATTACACTTTCTGACTTTAATAAAACCTTTGCCAACAATATTATTTCATCCAAAAATAAAGGCTCCTTGTGCTCTATACCACAAAGTGATATTTTTACAAGTTTCTCGTCCTCGGGAAGTTGATCTTGGCGTTAATCATGGTGTGTACAGCTTATGCTTCAGCTCATACTTCTTGTTTTTGCGAGGATTAGACATATTATGGCTTGATCCAACGTGACTTAATCAGAAGGTCAGGGTTTGAAGGATACAGCTTGTGACTAACATCCTCTGGTTGTGTCATCGAGCCAGTGTCGCTCCCAGGTGACATCCGACGTGCCGCCAATTGGTGAAGCTGTGTGTATTTGTACGTCCTTTATTACTCCATCTGCTTTCGAGTGTGTGTCACCAATCACCGGGTTTGTCATTGCTCAACTGCCCCCACCAGACCTGCTGGGCACTGACACATCCCGTCTGTCCCAGCGTCCCGTCAGTCACTCAGTCAGTCAGGATCAATGTTTAGCCGTCGCTATCAGCACGCGCCCTGCCGTGACAGCTCAACCAACACCCCTCCGCCAATTTAAGGGACATGAAAGCCGGGGGTTTTGATCCGCTGTTTACAAATCCACATACAACATGATATATCCTCTCCCCCACTCCTCAGTTTGCAGCGCTGGAGAAATCCGACAGGGAAGCAAGCCAATTAGCGCCGTCGGTTCCGCTCTTATCCTATCGCAGAGCAGCAGGATGTGCAGGGTTGAAAGGTAGTCACTGGTGGGCTGTACTCTACAGAACCAAAGCCTTGTTGTCAAACTGGAGGGGCCCATTGCAAGATGATTTCTGATGGATTACTGCTGTTATTGTGCACTCCGCCTCCTCACTCCCTTTCCGTGATCCCTTGCTCCCTTACTCTTAGTTTCATGATGAGCTCCCTCTCCTCTGTTTGTCCTGAAATGTCTTTAATATCTTTCTTCCTAAGCTCACTTTTCCTTTGTGTCCTTCTTAACTTCCTTCTGCTATCTTTCTTGTCATCACTCCAGTCAGCCGTCTGCACTTGAGTGTTTCTTTCCCTATTCATTTCTCTATCTCCTTGAATGAACTATTGATTTAACCAGGCTATATCAGACAAAATGAGCTCCAAAGTCCCGCTTGAATTCACACAAGTTCACGATTTTCTACAATTAAGCGCGCTAATGTGAGCTCTGCAAGTCCCAGAGACCTCCTGCTAATTAAACAAGCACACGGCGCATCGC